CGTTGTTCTATGATATTATCTATGCCTCTAACAGTGCCGAAACAATAAATGTTTGTGATGAGAGTTTATCGCTCTCCATCATCCTCAGTAACATTGAAAAAATCTTGAGGATTCTAAGGAGAAATGCTTAAGTGATAAAAACCAAGGAATTTCCTTTTCACAAGTGCATAAACATGCCTAACTCCCATTTCTGTCACTTGAAGCACTCCCAAGTCCACCAGAATTATGATAGGCAAGTTTCACTTTGAATTTGTGCTCTGGGTTTTCATCATTTTCTGGGCTGCAGAATGACTGGTCTGAAGGATTATCAGGGCCTTAGCAATGAAATAATAAGAACCGGTGCCTGGAGAGACCACTGCAGTATCATCTATTGACTGTTGCCTAGATTGAAATGCCAAAATCCTGATGTTTCATCTTAGCAGAATTTTCAGTCATGCATACATTTCATTGTTAAAAAAAAAAATGTAACGAGTCACTACCTTTGTAGGAATGAACTTCAAAATGCAAATCAATGTCTTTTGCACTTTCAGAAACCCCAAACAACAGCTCCATTGCATGAAAATGTCTATTATCTTTTTCAGTGGTTAATCAATATAGAAAAACAGCCCCGTTTTTAAAAAGCAAAGGAAGTTTTCTACTATCTTCACCACTGCACCCCACAATGCTGGCTGACAAGAAAAGCCATGCATTGAGATGGACGGAAGTTTAACTACTTGAGGTAGAGCTAGGAGAGGAATATTTCTGGATATGCTGTATCTCACAGCTTTAAAAATTGCTGCATTTGTTATTTAGGTAAAAAGAGCTGGCTTATAAAATAATTTAAACTGCCAAAAAGGAATGATAGCCAGAGATGCTGTAAATGAGATCAGTCACAAAGTCTGGATCAGCTGGTGTTATAAAATAGGCTCATCATCCAGAATATTTATCTGTCTAGCCATAAACCCTTACTCTCTGGAAGCCAGTTAAGAAGACACATGCAGGCATCCTTGCTTACAAATGTAATTTCCTGCTAGTCATGGCTCATGAACAGGTGAGAAAGGGTGTGAGCAGAGAAGGAACAACAGGCAGGACTGGCTGCATTGCTAGGGCTTTTTTTGGAAGCTGATAAGTGAATCAAAGATGAAGAATTTTTGGATGCTTTTTTGCGTCATGTCTAAATCTCCGTAGAGAATAAAGGGGTCCATTGCAATCATAGAAAGACTGCTGGTGCAGAAGGAAGTTCAGGTGGAACAAAACAGTGCTGGGCTCACCTTTTCCCTGGCAAGTTGAATGACCAGTTTATTCATGAACAGCCCAAGTCTCTGCAAAGCTGACACTCGTCAATTCCCGCACTCTGTCGCCAATAAATTCAGCATTGGAGAGTCAGCAGACAGCAGTGCAATTAGAAGGTGATACTTGCTTTTCACTAGGTTCTTGACTCATACAGCCTGAAAATTACAGGAATTAATATCAGGCTTTGCTCATGTGGTACTTCCCAAATGAGCTGAGACCACCAGCAATACCTGAAGTCTCTCTCACTTCTTCATCATGCTAAAGTTGCTGTGGATCACCACAGATGCTTTATCACTCTAATTGCTCTGATATGATGTATAAGGTTTGGTATTTTTTGTGATGATTACATAGCAGATGTCTGGCAAATAGGGAGGGCCCTCTTGGTTCTTGGCCCAGTGAAAATCACAGGAGTCCTTGTTTTGTTCTTGCTACTCAGCAACCCTACTTATCCAATGGTACCTTTACTCACAGACAACCTCAGACACATCAGGTACTCTGTAATTACCACCTGAGCAGTCTCAGAGTGGTAGCAGAATGTGCATATTATCAGATGAAAGGGACAAGAAAAGCCTTTGCTGTCAAGCTTGAGATCAGCCTCTGGTTCCTCAACAAGAATCTCCTTCCTTGCTGCAGACACTGACAGCAAGGGAAGCATACGGCTGCAAATGATGAGAAAAAAAGCCAAGGGAGAACTATGGCCGTCCAGGCTTACTGCAGTGTGTCCACTTGCAGCAAAGAATAATCACAAGGGACATGCTGATGGTCTGTTCTGTACAGAGTGAGTCATTGCTTCTTGCTGTGAAATTGTGTTCTGCTGATTGACATCACTGAGTAGATCTCTTGTTCCTTGCTCTGGTCTTCCTATGCTTATCTCATCCATGTCATTAAAACTCTTTGTGATTTATAAATCATATAGAGAAGTCTTCATTCTCTTGGTCCTAGCCCTTGGCCTGACTTTCAGCCAAAATGACTGCAGACAGGTTAACAGTGCTGAACAAAACTTGTCCCTAAGGATGTGGCACTATTTACAGTCTTACCTAAATGTGGGGAACTTTAGGGGTAAGAAGCAGCTCAGTCTGTGATCCACTCCTCTGTGCCTGAAAGTGACTTTACCATGACAAGCATCTGACCACCAGCTAAAAGGGCTGTCTTTGAAATCTGCATTGTCTCCAGAGTAGTCTAACTGGCTGAAACAAAATCTGTCACTTCTTTTGTACTTGCAGTGCTTTTACCTTTCCATACAATGCATCTCAGCAACTACTTCTCTGTAACCCCTCAGAAAAATCCTCCTGTTATTTATCCTTTCCTGTTAGGAGGCTTATCCCTGGAAAGGAATACAGAAAGTCTCCTGATTCTGAGACTACCATGATCATCTTCAATCCTTTTCATTTTCCTCTGGCCAGCAATGATCCCGTGCATTATTCCAAGAACACGAAGGGAGTCACAGGGCTGACAGGGGTGCTGCGAGTCCTAGTCCAGGCCCCTGTCCAAAGGCAGGATGAGCTATAGCTTTGTCTTTCCCAGCAGGCATTTGTGCACTGAATCTCCTCAGAACCTACAACACAGGAGATCCTTCAATCTACTTGAACAAAAATTCCTGTGTTTCTCAGACCTTCCCATTAGAGAACTATGCCTGTCTAAACCACTCTCTAACCTGCATTATACTAACCTAGAAGAGCAGAAAATATCAAAGGAAGACACTAGAAGAGCAGCAGAAAATGTTCCTTTCTGGGAATTAATGCCAGTCCAGCTACTTCATTAACTATAATTTGACGACTGACAGAAAATGATCGCAACAAATGGAGCAATGGAGCAACAGTTAATCTTCAGGGTAACTAAAAATGTAATATGAACAGAAGTACCTAAAGAAATAGAGAAATAACACATAACAACAAAGAAACCTGTTTAAGACAGTTAAGGCAAGAGCTCAAAAGTATCAGAAAACTAAGCAGGGCTAGGAGTGTAGTGTTTCACTCTGCTAGCACATTAGATAACTTGAACTTTGCCTTGACAGATTCATACACAGAAGAATGAATCTTAAGGGGACTTGTGGCTTTAGCACACACCCCTGTGCCTAAAGGACACAATTTATTGTGCTCCAGGATTGTAATTTCCCATTTACTATATTAATTTGGATTCAAAATTGCCAGTATTCCTGAAAGAGAAATACACAGTTGTGTCTTGCTGCTTGAAAACCATCTCCCTTCTGTTCTGGGAGGTGACTGAACACTACTCTGATTTAGAGCTGTTGCATCTTGCTGCTCCTACTTGCATACTTTCCACTCATATTCCACAACATTTTCCCTCCAACTGTGCTATGCCTAGTGACAAAAATAAGAATACAGAGAACAGCCCACCACTGCAAGACAGGGAACAGCATCTGTCTGGTTCTGCTCTGCAGTTTGCTTTAGGTGACAACATGAGGAGCAGGCTCAGGAGCTGGGTTTTCAAGTGACTGTGTGGAGAGCAGCCACTTCCTCAGCAGAAACCAGGAATGCAAACCAGACACTTATTTGGGAAGTTTTCTTGCCCCAACGTTAAGCAAGTAAAACCAGACTCCATGGCTTTCTTCCCTTCAGGCAAAATCTGTGCAGGTCTAACCCTCTTGTCCTCAGGGCTTGAATGAAGAGCGTATTTTTAATTTCTATTTCCTCCAAGAAAAAGATATGAGAAAATTCAAACCGGAAAAGAAATAAACTCATGAGTATCTTATGACTGATATGAAACTGCCTTCAGAGCTTCCTAAATACCAGAGAAGCCTAGTGTCTGATTGGGTTGATACGTAAGTATACGTTAGTAGTAATAACTACATGCTTGTTACAAAACAGCGTTATAAGTATTTGTGCTTGCATGCTATGCAAATATTTGCCCACCCACACACCGTATCAACCTAAATGTGAAGGAAGATTTTTTTTTTTCCAGGAAAATAACCCCAGAAGCATACTACTTATAATTAGGTTGCTCTGTCCCTGCTGCCTATGCCTTGCTGAAGCAATCGATACAAGGCAAGGACCAGTCTTCCTCAGAGTCACTGATAAAAATGAGGAGTAATGAGAAGTCCCGGGCTAAACTTGGCTGACACATCAGTGTCTTGTGGAAAGCCTACCTGGAGAAAACTTGTCCAACTTTCCTGTAAACACATCTGCAGAATGCAAGGTTTTGAAAGAAGACTATGAGGACAGGGATAGCTTCTCTGTTTTGCTCCTTGTGCCACAAATGCCTTCCCCACTCACAGTAGAAATATCAGGAATCCCCAGGAGAGGAACAGGGCTCTCATATTTCCATCAAGAAAGCCTAAGGAGGTGCAGATGATGCATGGGGAGCCCCTAACTGCAGTGTCTCTGCAGAAAGCATAGCATCCCAGGTGTACCAGAATTAGTCTGCACATGCTGTGTGGTTGATATGAATGCACACAATCTGTGCCACATCACTGCAACAACTTCAGAGTGCTCAGCTGCAGCATACCCAGTGTACACACTTGGCACAGTTGTGCTATGCATGCACTGTGCCCGCTTTTCTAGAACGTCATGCAAATGAAAGCAAGCTACTGTTTGTCCAAGCTGTTGGATATTCAACAAACTCTGGAACAAATGGCTAAGTTCCTCTTCTCCATTAAGGACAAAAATTGCCAGTTGAGGAAGAAAAACAAGTAGGGAAAGCTCCCTGGAAGGGATCTTTAAGAGAGAAGTCTTCAGAAGCACAGAACTGGAGCAGGCAAAGGGAATTGCCTTACCTCTACTCTTGAACTGCTGCCTTATGTCACAACTGTCCAGACAGGTACTTTTATATTTTTCTTTCCCTTGCTACTGTGCCACCTGCAGAGGTTTTAATAATTAATTTCTATTACAAAAACATATGTTTGCATTCGGTGGAGCCAATTCTGACAGCAACACACATCAAATTTTGTAGAATTTATTTTTTTTACAGGTAAAACCCCTGAAATCTCCTTTGTTTCTAGGAGTTTGCTTTCTTTTTTATAACTAGGTAGACTTTTTTTACATCTCAGTATGCATTTAAAATTGTGACTTCTTTCTGAACTCCTAGGGATAAGGAAAGATTCAAGATTCCACAAAAGGTCCCCTAGTTGTACTAACTGGTTGCAACAGACAGGAATGTGACTCACCATGAGCAAAAATTATGCTGCCACTGGGAGTGGCAATGGCTTTATATCCCATTGCTCCAGAAGCCCTGTCATCAAGCTCAACAGTCAACTTGACACCATCAGTCCTGAGGAGAAGGTAAATATCTCCCTGACCTTTAATTCTAATGCTTACATTACAAATGACATAAGCATGAAATATCTAAAGATTGATATGTGCATTAGTGATGTACTTAGCACATATATACTGTATATAACATTTTGAGGAAGTTAGAATATTTTTAAGATGCTGTGCAATGTATTGAATTACATTAAAATGTATGTGCTGTGTGAGGAAGCTGTGCTTAATTTGTACAATGGCTTTACCGGGTGTGTTTCTAAAGAAGATTAAAACCAAACCTTTTCCCACTTCTTCTGCCTGATCCAGATTGGTAATTTATGAGAGCATAATCTTTCTACACCATTCCATCTTTTAAATACTTATATGGATAATTTAATTCTTCTTGTGTAATGGGGGAAAGGTATCTTCCACATCTAGGGAGAAAGTTATTCAGAGTCAGTAAGAATCAAACCAAAAGTGACTTTGAATAGTGGAAACTCTAAAACACTGACTTTCTAAGGGATTAGATGCCTCTACATCACTTTACTGGATGAAGGAACTGGGAAAAGGCTTTCATAAGAAAGGAAATCTGTCCTAGGTGTAAGATGTGAAGAGTTTTGCAGAAAATTCAAGGTCATCTGCTAGTAATAATTGTGATTGTAACTGAAGTATATGTGGGAAAAGCGTTAAAGCTGCAGATAAAATAAAAAATATGACTGGGATTTTCCACTAATACATGATGTGCCTTTGTTGAAAATCTTGCTAAGTGAGCCTATATGTAGTTCAATTTTCTGTCAAATGTTTGTTAAGCAACCAGCCTTAGAAGGACACAGTATGTGAGACAGCTGATTAATACACACAAAGTTTGTAGAGAGAGACACAGAGAGTGAGGTGTGATCAAGGGCTGTAATTAACAAGTGCTATGCCTAGAGGACTTGAGGCAAGAAAGATTGGGACACAAAGCGAGCTGGGACTGTGGTCAGAACAAAGTTAGGGCTAAGTAATGAAGCCATAGCTATTGCTTGAGCTGGAGAAACAGCTGAACTCAGAATACTGTTTCTGAAAATGTGTTTCTCCTGCCATTCAGGGTACCGGTTTTCAGATTCACTGTGAAATCCCAGACGTGGTGAATCAGGAATCTTCCATGAAGTGCTGAACAATTCAGACACACTACTGCAGAAAACCTTACCGTGCTCTACCAAGGCATCTAAGCTTAGCAGGCATAAGGATGAGAAGCTTAAATCTTTGTTTCCCTTGTTGCAGGCAATCGCAGTGCCACAATGTGCTCTCTCAGCGCAGCCAATGCCAAGTTCTGTCTTGACTTTTTCAGAGAGCTGAGCAAAAGAAAAAGAAATGAAAACATCTTCTTCTCCCCACTAAGTCTCTCAGCTGCTTTTGGGATGGTTGTCCTCGGAGCCAGGGGCAACACACTCGAACAGATTGAGAAGGTGGGTTTCCTTTGCTCTGAAGAGGGGATGGTGGCAAGATATGAGCCAAAAGGCTGATAGTACCATCTGATATAGTTCCTAAACATCCAAAAGAGTGATGCATACAGAGGGCCCTTTAAAAATGCCCTCTCTTATGCTATTCCTAATACCAAACTTTTTCAGACTAAACACTATTACAGTAATTGATCGTTCAATGAATACATCAGTGCTAAAGAAAGTGTTTTGGAGGTATCCCTCCACTCTCCAGGGCTCAGAAGTGGTGGTTCCCTTTGACGTGGTTTTCTGCCTTCTCTGGATACCCAAAACCTTCTTTCTTAAGAAGAAAGATTTCAAAGATTTCATGAGCTCACCCTCTACAAAAACTTCTTGTTCACTTGCAAGGATCTCATGACAAAGGACAAACGAGACTTTCCCCATTGACTGTATGGCTGCATTTTGGGATAGGCTTGCAACACGCTCTTTTAGCTCGAGGTACTGTCGCTTAACTGCATTCACCCAACATTTACATTGCAGGTATTTCATTTCAGTGAAGTTTTAAGCAGTACAAGCCAGGGAAATAGATACCCTTCTGAGAAGGTAAGAGTTGCAGCTCTGAGATGAAGAAACAGGTACCGGTTTGTCAGCCCTTTTCCTTGCAAACAATCACTTAATCAGAAAGCATGGCAGAGTTGAGCAGCCTCTCTGTCTAGATTTGCAGACCTGCTTATTACTGTTCTTTTATTAGTTATTTAAGGGCCCTTATGAGATCACAGATTTCAACAGCTAAGACCTCTCATTACAGGTTTCTAACCAAAACAGCAGTACCAATCTAAACTGTGATAAGTGCTTAAATTGTCACCTGCAAAGGTTTTTCTACAGGACATACCAAAAGCACCTTGGAGCTTGCTCCTCCCAGGCTCTAAGTGAGCAGACTTTTGCTCAGTGTTCTCAAAGACACCACTTTAGGATACAATGGGATTTGGAGGTGGGCTAGTGGGGGCCTGAAAGGGAATCGTTTTGTCATTCTGTACATCTGGTACAGGGGGAGTTGGAGGTGGTGTCCTGATGCATTCATTCCAATGCCTATATCAACTAGGTGGAGTCAGGCTTCTCATAGAGAGAGAGGCTGCAATTCACTCTCAGGTCCAGCTTTGCATAGGAAAGCTCAAGCCTACCATGAAACTTCTGTTTGAAGTGCGAAGAAGCTGGAGGAGTCCATTCCCAGTTCCAGACTCTGTTGACTGCAGTCAATGAACCCAGACCAGGCTGCTCTCTCACCATTGCCAACAGGCTTTTTGGAGAAATCACTTATCCGTTCTTCCAGGTAAGTGGCCATGGTGTCCATTTTAACAGCTCCTGGGAGTTACGAGCTCAGCAGAATTTCTTCCATCATAAAGTACAAAGGGAAATGAAACACAACAGCACTGTCAGGGTATGCTGCCAAATGACTGCACTCCACAGCTCCTGCAGTCAGGAAGCCTTTCCATTTCAGTTGCCCAGTGGTTAGACGTAGGGAACAGCAGAGCACTGGGAAGCCATGACTTAAAAGCTTTTATATAAAAAGAAACAGATCTATGATAACAGCTCTCCCTGGGCATTCAAGAAAATGCAGTGGCATTATTCACCATCAATATATCCTTGCCACGCACACCTGGTGTCTAACAGAACTGGTGCTTGCTGCATCATTTCTATCCAAGGAACAAAGATCTGTGACCAGCAGAAGACTTTTTTTTCTCCCCCAGTGTCTTCTCTGTTTCTAATAAAATGACTGTACTCACTCCTCCACCTTTTCTTTAGAGTCTATGCGAATATGGGACTCTGTGATTCCTGCTGCCTTTTCGAGCAAGGCTTAGAGGAAAGTAGCATCTTTGAGATTTTTGTCAATTTAAGTGGAATTTCCTCAGGGAACCAGCCTTAAGGTGTTTATAAGAGTATTGCTAGAAACAGTGCTGTTTTATTTCTGTAACCATCTTTCTCTTTTCAAGTCAAGATTTCATCTTGCTTCCAAAACTTGGTACTCCATGTAAAGAGAGATTTTTCAGAGCCAGAAAAAGGTGACCAGCAGCCTGGAAAAGTTTTATACTTAATACAACTTATAAGTTTTACAGTGTATATATCTACACAGAGTAATATATATATATATACACACACACACATCTCATCGTGATATTATAAGTCCTGGTTACTTGTTCAAAATAAGGCAACCTTCTTCATTTGGTGGCTGGGGGAAAGCAGTCAGCATAACAATGATATATAGCTTAAAGAAAGGTACCAGGTTTTGATCTTAGATATTTTTTACTGTGCTGAGACATTTCTGCTGCTCAGTGCTGCTTGAAAATACAGAAAAATATATTTACAAATAAGTTTTTTTATAAATAATCATTCTCTAAAAACTGAATGCTGGAGTTATTTCAGTGAATTTCTTACATATACCTTTTTTACTCATTCCTTTCTTGCTGATCTACTACATGGAATTATCCTGAAGCCATGAAATTATCTCTTACAAAAATCATCATGTTGCAATAAACTTCTGTCATTTGTACTTTCCAGCAATACTTGGATTCCACAAAGAAATTCTATCGAGCAGAACTGGAACCAGTTAATTTTAAATACACTGAAGAAGAAGCCAGAGAGAAGATTAACTTCTGGGTGGAAAATGAGACAAAAGGTAAAGAAGAAAATCTGCAGGTTGTTTGGTTTGCAATTGAACCCGTTAGGAATATCATGTCTGAATTTCAGTTTCCACCTTTTTTCCAAAGGTAGCAAGATTTTTATATATTAAACACTTACCGCATTTTTTTGCTCAATAGGAAATAAATGTAGGAAGAAGCACAAAAATGCCTTGAGTTCCTGGCTTCAAAAGCTGTACATAAACTTTTTGTTATTTGTCTAGACAGTATTATACTACTTTTCAGATTTCCAGAAACAGTTATTAATAGTCAAATGCAGCAGATTGCCTGAACAAATGAATAATTCTTAATTCATTATTTTTAAAGGTAAAATCAAAGACCTATTTTCTGCTGGGTTTATTGATCCCTCTACTGTGCTGGTCCTGGTCAATGCTATATATTTTAAAGGAAAGTGGGCAGTAGAATTTAAGAAAGAAGACACTAAGGAAACATATTTCCAACTGAACAAGGTACAGTATGGGCAGGAACTGAAACAGCTGGGGGATGGAAATCAGATGTCTGTCTCCTATAACAACAGATGGGAGCTTTCCTCCTCTCTGTTATCCCAAGACAAAATACTGGTCTTCAGCTAGAACAATAGAAAGCTACATCTTCTCTCCAGTTTGGTAACCAAATTTGTAGCTTTTTCTGTTAGTTCACATCAGAAGTGAGTCTCATGCAGCTGAGATCCTGGTTGGGCCAAAGTCACTGAGCACATGCACTAACTTAGTTGGGGATTTCGCAGCTAAGGATGCTGTTTCAAAAAGTCTACTTTTGGGACTGAATTTGAGGATTCTGTTCCTCTGCTACAATTTACCAACAGAACAGTGTTTGTTTTCAGGAGAAAATGAGCTAAAGACAAATTATCTCAGGAGAATGTATACATTATTCATGAAGAATTTAGATTAATGGTTGCATCAGATGCATCAGTTTCCTCATCTGACATGCCAGAAGAAAAAAGGATGTAACCAGAGAGTTATGAGTAAAGTAATCTGGCACCAGTAGAAATGGAAAAGTAGGTTTTATGCTTCTAAAATGGATAACTTCACTGGAGCTACAGTTAAGAGAGAAGAACACATCAATGCTACAAGTATATTAAACTCATGACCAGTGTAAATAATGTTTCTGGACTCAACTCTAATCTCAATACTGAAACCAATTAAAACCAGGGTGATCATTTCTGTATTTTCTGTTTAACATGTTTCATGTGTTCCAGAATGAGAGAAGGACAGTGCAGATGATGTTTCAAGAAGGTTATTTTAACATGGCCATCATAGAGGAACTGAAAATGAAAGTGATAGAGCTCCCATACTTTAATAATGATCTGAGCATGTTCATTCTTCTTCCTGAAGTTGTCTGTGAGGACTTTACTGGCCTAGAACAGGTAATACTTCCTTTTCTCTCTAGTAGCATACATAAAAGTCTGCAAACAGGACAATTCTTTAACATTACTCCAGTGTGGTCAGAAGAAAAGCAGGAAAGGCTGAACCTTATTACCTTTTCCTTCCATTCATTATGGTCTCTATCATTATTATCAATACTGCCTTACAGCTTGAATGCACCCTCACGTATGAAAAGCTAGCAGGATGGACCAGCTCGGCTAGGATGCAAAAGCTGAGAGTGAAGGTGTACCTGCCTCAGTTCAAGATGGAGGAAAGTTATGTTCTCAACAAAACTCTCCAGGAGATGGGAGTGATGAATGTTTTTGACTGGGGAAAAGCTGATTTGTCAGGAATCTCTACGAAAGATGGTTTGGTTGTGTCCAAGGCCATTCAGAAGTCATTTGTGGAAGTCAATGAAGAGGGCACGGAAGCAGTTGGTGCCATGGGGCTTGTTGCAGTACCTCTGTGTCGCCCAATTTCTTATGAGTTCAAAGCTGACCATCCATTCCTCTTCTTCATCAGACACAACCCAACCAACACTATTCTCTTCTTTGGAAGATATTCCTCCCCTTAAGTGGAGGTTATTTTGGAAATTAGATCTTTGTCCCCACTAACATCCCCATTGGCAAACAGCGAGGACAAAAGACGAGCACGTTTTCTCTAGGCTTTATCCTAATGTGTTAATTTGGTGTAAAAAAGACTATCTAATAAGAGCCAAACTAGAGATAAAAACCTAAAAGACGTTAACCATTTCCTGTCTAACATCGACTTCAGGCATGTTTTACTTTTAGGAGGCCTCACTAAAATGACATCTACATTAAAATACACTGTATGATATTTGCCAAAGAGCTGTAGGCCTCTAGAGACATCTGCATAGAAAATCTTACTTTGAGCCTTTCCTAATTTACTATGCCTCCATTGAACCCATGATTTTAGTGCCCTAAAGATGAGTGATACATTCTCCCACATCAAGGAGACAGGAGGATAGGGATCTGCATTAAAAGGATAAACTCAGGTACTCAGTCTCTTTTAACTTTACCTACCCAACCTCTGTACAGGTGCCACTTTGTATGGGAGTAGCAAAGTATTCCTGTGGGACTCCTCCTTTAAACATTGATTGGGGGTAATGGTTCAAGCTGAAACGCTCAGGATTTGTTCTCAGAGACCAGAGAAAACAGAACACTTTTCTGGTATAATTTTGCTTGTTCTCAAGCAGGGCAGACCCATTGCTTATTTTTTTCTGTGAGAAACCCTGTATGTGCTAGAAAGTTCTCCAACTTCTTAAACTTCCACAGAACAAAAATAGGGTTTCATAATAATGAAGGCCTTTTCTGACAAGGCCTGCTCTGTGATTAGGTGCTTAATTCCCACATAAAACTTTAAGCAGTGATAAGCCATTCTCACTTCTAAACACCAGCGCTCTTTGTGCCTCAGATACCATGAGTTTCTTGCTCCATCTGTTTTATTCCTCATTAGCATAAAAAACTAATAAATCATCTATAGTGATGGTATTTAGGTGGGTAGCCTGTATTTGTTCCATTTATCATAATAAAACCACTGCAAACTAAATATTAAATGTAGTAGTCTGCAGAATTAAGTGGACAGAGGAGTAGTCTAATATAGCAAGTAAAGACAATGGTAATCCTTTCAAAAATGTAAGTGACATTTTTGTCTACCTCCCATTTTTAAATATTCATCATGCTAAATTTAGGCACTGGACATTAGGCAAAGAGCTAGCCATCTGTGCAGGGCCAGTTATGTCCTTCAGGTGCATGCTTCACAGATGTCCACACAGGACAAACACATTGAACCAGAGCATACAAAGGAGTGTGAGTGCCCAGGAAAGCTCTTCATGGAAGACCTAAAGTCAGCAGTTGCTTAAATATGCCCAGTAGCTGGAACGCTAATGTGAATATGTGAAAATGGGAGAATAAGAGAAGACACACTACAGCCCTTTCCACAGAAAACCTGTGCCCTCAGGCAGTAATGGTTTGATAGAATAAAGTAAAAGCTACCGCAGCCCATTTCACAGAATAAGGAACATTGAACAAGGTGAGAGGAAAGCTGCTTACTGTCTTTAGTTTTTCCCATCCTCATCACTGCTACAACACTCTCAGATGAAAAGCTCATTCTGAGTTGGGAACCTGAAAGCCACTCCAATTATCAGGCTCTACATTTCATGCATACATTTCAGCAAAACAAAACACACTGTTAAGGGTAAAGTAGCTCCCTTTCCCTTTCACAGAGGGTGCACCTACTGCTGTATGCTCTGTGACTTAATATGTACAAATTTGGGATTTCTATTATCCACCCCTATGGCCTTTACAGATGCCAGATTTGTTTCTTTACTGCTCATCAACTCTATTATTCAATAAAGAGTAATAGCTTTTTACAATTGAATTATATTTGATATTGTGCATTATGATTGTCTAACAGACCATGAATGTTCCTGCAGACAGATTCTGTAGTTTATTCACCTGCCATAGTAAAAAGGTAGGTATGGAAGATCTATGAGAATGGCCTGTGCGTGTACCATGGGCCTTGTTGCCATGACCTGCGGAGAATGAAAATTAAAAGTTGACCCTCAATCATCACTTAAATCCTACTGGCTGGTTAAAATCCATTGCTGAATATCTGAATACTCTGGGGTCTGACTTACAGCCCAGCAAATATGTAATTTCTGACTGTTCCTCAAATCTCTTCCTCTGCCATGCCCACCCTCAGACCTCTAATTCATCTCAGCACTGCTGCTCTAAATGTTTTCATCAAAATAAAGTTTTAGCAAAACATGCTTTCTCTGCAGACCCCTTCTCCCCTCCTCCACATGTATGCTGTAGATCCTTTAGTTTCACCTCAGGTAAAAAACTTTGGTCTCACCTAGGTACAGAAATAGATGTGGCCGTGCTTTTAACAAGTGCAACCTATAAACCACACCAGTCCTTGGACTCCAGGAACATACTTCTGCATTTTGGCAGATCAAAACACCTCTCAGTACTATTTTGGTCTTGAAAAATAAACAGAAAGTTTTGGCTTTGTTCTTACATGGAAAAAATCCATTTCAAAACCCTCTGAATAGAATGACCATCCTGCAGCTGGCTCTGCTTGGAATTGCCTTATTTTGGCAACATCAGATGGTCACTGTCCATGAGGAACTTCCCTCTGTTCCACTGCACAGACTCTGTAGTGAGTTGTTGCATATATATCAGACCTTCAGCAGTTAGCCCAGTATCCACTTTTCCCTTCACACTTGGTGGGAGTACTGTGTTACAGTGCTTTCTGTACTTACAGTGCCTCATAGATGAGAAGAAGAGAAACAGCTTAGGTTTTCAGGGACTGATGCACTTTTTTGCACTCCCTGGTAATACAAGACTCTTTCCTCAGCTATAGCCATGGATGCTCACTAATGATGGACTGTGGTGGGAACTGTTTGCTCACTCCCAGATCACTGCACTGTGACTGGGGCTTATTTTCCGGTAATAATTTGGGCTCTATAGCTTCACTTGACTGTGAGAATCACCTGATCTGATGTTACAGCTAGGTTTATTAAAAATGTATTATGTGTTGCTGGATAAATTTGTAACACTGTTTTTCCTCAGTTTTTTGCATTTGTTTTTCATTTGGCTCTAGTTACCTAATATGGCCCAATCACATTAATGTGTAAATTCAAAAGAACTGTATGAGACATAGTTTTAGGCTTGAACGCCAATTGCTTTGGTACAGACTTATAAGTTACAGCAAAAGCTTAAATAAGTAATTTTTTAAATTAGGTTTTACTTCAATAAATAAAGGTTGTCTTGCTGCAGATAAAGTACCAGTCTAAGATTGGTCTACTTAATATTTCAAAGTGCAATGAATCAAAAGATTGTGACGAAAGGTTAGTGACTCAAAAGATGACTCCTTAAAGGCTAACTGTGGGAGTGTCTCCAATGGTGCAATATATATCACCAAGAGCTCAGAGAATCTGTTTAGGTTCAGCTGGCAAGCTGGATTATTACGCACCTCTTTGAAGTTTGTGGGGTAAGTATTTCTCCAAGTAAAATATAATTTCTAATTTGTATTCTTTAATATGGAAAAAAAAGTGATATTTTGTTTAAGAACTTTAAGGTAAGTATAAGATAGATATGTAAAAAGACAGCGTATACAGTAATCTTACCTTGCCTTATCAATATAGCTTATACTGTTTGACTGTCAAATACTTTGAGGTGTGCAAAATATGAGTGTGTGTACACCATAGCTTTGAGTAAAAATACCTCTTTTTTGTTGAAAATCTGGTGTCACATTAAAACAGTTCTTTTATAATTTTAATAGTTATTTTGGGAATAAAGGCATTTCTTTTTTCTCAGTCTCGCTCTCTGGAGAACACAGGTGAGGTACAGTATGACAATTCACAAAGTCTGTGGTTTAGCACCAGATGCCTCTCAGGTCACATAATCAACTACATCTGCTCCAAACTATGGATATGCTGCTATTCCTCCAACTTTAACTGTTTTAGAGACAAAAGAACAGTATGCAACTTCCTTGGCCTCAGATTCAAAAGCGAGAATGACTGCAGGTTTCAATGACTGTCCTTAACATATCACATTCATTTGCATCTACAGGAATTGCATCTGAATGAATGAATGCAGCTCTACGCTGTTTCAAGGTGTACTGCCAAACCCCATATTTGTGATATATATGCTTGTGCTTTTTCTCAGCAAAAAAGCATCAGCAGAGATTAAATGTCTGAAATGGGACTACAGGAAAGAACCCCCTTAAATCTACAGTTTAGAATCTAAGCAACTGGCTGGGTTTACAGAGCAACTTACTCCTGTTATTCCTATAAACTACAACAAAGCAACCTCCAAATTTGTGACTGGTTGTACTAAGCAACAGTAAGAAATACACTAAGAGAATAGTGAGTTGACTACCTTTGAATTAAAGATCCAGAGTATGGTCCAGAGCAACCGCAGAAGAAATTAAATATGAAGCTTGCATTGTCTCAATCATTATTCAGAGTAGTCTGGATGACCATAGGGAAACTCATCCATTCAGTGTTGTATTTACCATATTGAAGCATGAATGAAACTATCTGTTTCCTAAAAGGCAACTACAAAATACTATCTTGATGCTAAGCTAGTATTTTGCTGGAAGAAAACAAACATGCATCCAGAGATAAATGGGTCAGGAGTTACCATATTTCTAATGATCACAGAATTTGTGAGCTTCACATCATTCATTGGTTCAGCATCACAAAACCGGCAATGAACTAGCAGTTTCCTGACTATTGACAGTAAAACGACTGCTACATATCACCACTATACAGTAATATTTCTGTTTGCTTCAGATAACACTGATTTCACAATGGGCTCCATCAGTGCAGCAAATGCAGAATTTTCTTTTGATGTATTCAAAGACCTGAAAGTCCACCATGCCAATGACAACGTCTTCTATTCGCCCCTGAGCATCATTGCAGCCTTGGCCATGGTTTATCTGGGAGCAAGAGGTAACACCGAGTATCAGATGGAGAAGGTAAGTTACATAAATGGATACAAACTCCTTTTGATCCCATTTAACACAGCAACAGATTATCCATTT